TTCACAGCAAAGTGCCTGCACGGTCATACTATACTCACCAGAACAACTATATTAAGCTGTAGTTGTTCTGGTGGCTATAGAGTCCCTTTAACATTATCTTAGCTAAGCCATTGAGAAAAAACATAACAATGCAAGTACTGAGTGGGAGCATTGTTTATAGGTCTGAGATGAGACATAGTAGAGGCAGAAAGTAGGGACAATGTTTTGCAAAGCATTTTTACTCACTGAAAGGTTAATGCTTGTAAAATGTAGAGTACACTCTATCACATTAAAGGAACACTCCAAGTGTGCTATAGTGGTTTGGGTGTTTTTTCTTTAACTATTTTATGTTATGAACCATTTTTTAAATAATAAATAAACTAGGACTTTTAACAAGAAAACTTTTTTTACTTCAATAAAATTATTTTTTTTTTAAACGTACCATATGACGAGTGATACATTAATAGGCATCTGTGCCTTCAATTCTTTTATTATCCCACCATATGGCATATTTGCTGTTTTTTTCCCCTCTTTTGTCATCTTCCCAACAAACTAATTCTATCTCCAGATACACAGCTCTCTTTCGAGAGTTAAGATATACTGTATATTTCTTAAGAACTCCTTTGAATATCTGGATGTTGCATGCTCGAAATGTCATTAAAGGTGAATTATTTTCAATGAGAAATGTTTGAAATTGGATAATATCACTGCATCTGCTGTTCAGTTTACTTAAAAAGAGTTCAGCAAAAGTCAGCTACAAAACAAGATATGCAAACATCTGGTCAAAACATTGTTAAAATACGCCGACACACTAAACATAAACATTTCATAACTGTTCTTTAACAGTTGGTCCTCGTCTTTTATTACTAAAAAAAATAAAATCATTGTTTTTCATTTCTTGGAAAAAAAGGAATAGGCGAGGGAGAAGGAGAACAGTCGAAGAATGTGTAGTTCAAGAATAATTGCACCGTTGGAGTATGTGGGTACTGAATAAATAAAATATAAAAATAATGATTTTTTTAAAAAGCACTCCATGCACTTAAGATTTAAATGTACTTGGTTTCCAGTAGCAAGCAGTGATGCACAGTGGAGAGAGGGACAGATTTAAAATTATAATGAATAATGAAAAAAAAGAAAAACAAAGGACAAACAGCAAGGTAACGAAAAAGTTTTCTGCACAGCAATACAAGAATACAATAAATACAGGAGTTGTAAAGATCTAGGGGCACAAGAAATATGATGATATACAAAATATGAAAATACAATGTTAAGAACATTGTTACAAAGAAACAACTGTCAATGTGGCCAAAAGATGAGGGCTGTGGACTGTGTTTTTCTTTTTAATGAAAGTTTATGGCTGGAATGTCTTAATTTGGTCATTCAGTTGTTTTTGAACTATTCTAATAAATGTTCACAGATCCATGGAAAACATCTAGCTATATGAAGCTTTATGATAACTGCAGATTGGAGAAAAAGGTCGATGAGAAATATATATAATCGGTTACTGGACAAGAGGTCTTAAATTAGAGGGACAAAGGTTTAAAAATAATTTCAGGAGGGCGTGGCTTAGCGGCGAATGAGAGCGGTCGCCTGATCTCGGAGCTCTCCCGCCGACGGGTGTCTACAGCGTGATTACACAGCGTACAAGCACCGGCAAGAGTGGCAAACAAGTGGGCATACCTCCACCACATAATGTCCACAAAGACCGCCAAAAAATTCAAACAAAAGACCCTCCAAATGCAGGTGATAGAGTCGCCGAAGTGCGGACAGGAGGAACGAAATGGCGCCGACCAGCCCTAGTCCCCAGCCTCATGCTCAGAAGGAGGTGAGTTTACCCTCACTGCAGATGACATGCAAGCACCAGCCACAAACGCTTCACTGCAGAACATGCTATCTGAATTAAAACACACTTTCAAAACAGACCTGAAACAAATTGCTACAGATATCAGGGCTGACATTCAAGCTTTAGGTGAAAGAACAGCACGTCTGGAAGAAAGAGCAGAGGAAACTATAGAGGCCCATAATAGCCTATCAGAGGCACACAACGACCTAACGCAGAGAGTACAAAGCCTGGAAGCAAAAGTGGCAGATCACGAAGACCGGGACCGCCGCAACAATATTAGAATCCGGGGAATACCGGAGTCAGTCGGCTCCCTAGATCTGACCCAATATGTACAAGAAATATTTACAGCATACGTTCCAGCATTGAAGGAAACTGAGTTGCTGCTTGATCGCACACACCGCCTCCCAAAACCCAAGCACTTACCGACTACAGTACCGAGAGACGTCATAACGCGAATACACTATTTCACAACGAAAGATCGAATAATGCAAGCGTCTAGACGCCAAGGTCAGCTCCCAGGTCAATTTTCCCAAATCAAGCTATTCATTGACCTCTCCACTGCGACCATGATAAAAAGGCGCTCGTTTACCCACATCACAGCGGCATTGAGAGCGACGGATGTACAGTATAAATGGGGCTTCCCGACCAAGTTACTAGTAAAACGCAACGGCGTAGACAACCTGATTCTTGATCCTGAATCCGGCAAAAGACAACTGTTGGAGTGGAACATCCCAATACCAAATGACCCCTTGCTAGCTACGGAGGATAGATCTGCAATCAAACTCCACAATGAATGGAAGAAACAACCACGTCCCAAGACTACACAAAGACAAGTCTAGCGTGATCAGAACTCCCAATCGTGTGCTGACCACACGGTGCCCATACGGGACAGGTCGTATACAAAGACTATATTAGTACATGCTCCTTTCTTGCAAATTACCATGCCGGGCTAGAAGCCTACCTACACCCAGGGAGGGCGTCACTAAGGCCACCCAGAATTGCTATGATAATTTTTGCTGTTAAATCCTTGCAACTGATTTCAATAACCACCCCCAACGTGGCTACCGACTCAGAGCCACAAGAGAATCCGTTAGGTTTGACACTGCACCGCAGAGGCGCAGTGAACGGAACATTGTACATAGTTGATTATTGGTTCAGTTATTATATTGTTTTAACCCTTTTTATTTTTATAAGGCAAACCCCACAGACGGTATGTCCCGCATCCTTATCACCATCTGGCACCACCATGTTAGCTATACAATTACCTCCCATTGGGGAACCTAATGTTGGAAGGGCACCCGGTCTATCCCAGAGTAGCCACAGACTACACCACATGTCAGATGGTACTTAAAATATGCTCCCTAAATACTAAAGGGCTGAATTCCCCCCACAAGCGCCGCCTAGCACTGCGCGAAGCAAAATCATTAGGTGCCCACGTAATGCTCTTCCAAGAAACGCACTTCCAATGGGGTAACAGACCGAAGTTCAATTCCCCACAGTATCCCATAGATTTCCACTCATGTTATTCCAAAAAAAAAAGAGGAGTGTCCATCCTTATTGGCAGAGATGTAGCTTTCTCCTTAATACGCAAAATAGGAGATAAAAAGGGAAGGTACCTTATATTGCAATGCTCCCTAAATAATAATGTCTATACCTTAATTAATGTATATGGACCTAATGTTAACCAATGTAACTTTGTTGATGTACTGCTTGGTTTGATGTCTGCTCACGCACTTGGGGAAGTGATCATTGGGGGTGACACGAATTTCTTACTAGACAGTAACCTAGACTCATCAGGAGGTCCCCAATTGACCGCACAAACACTAAAGAGCAGGTCCAAACTAGCCACACTAATATGCAACAAACTAACACTGCACAACCTTGTAGACCCGTGGCGAGTTACCCATCCCACAGAGAGGGACTACACATGCCACACAGCAGCGCATAACACTTATTCGAGAATAGATAGGTTTTTGATCCGCACCTCCTCCATCATAAAGGTTGAGCGCACAGACATAGGCCTTATCACATGGTCAGACCATGCCCCTATCACATTACAACTTAGGGAACAATTCCCCAACTCAGGAAGAAACAGTTGGAGACTCAATGAACAATTACTCTCCGACCCTGCCATAGTTAACCAAATAGAACAAGATCTACAGTTTTATTTTAAAGAAAACAAAACCCCAGACTCACCTCTACCCCAAATATGGATGGCGCACAAAGCTTTCATAAGAGGCTGCTTCATCAAGCACGCCAGCTACGCAAAAAAAAAGCGACTAGAATCTTACACAGCCATACTTTCTGAATTAACCTCCCTAACTCACACCAACAAACACACCCCTACAGCAGCCACACATACTAAATTATTGCTCTTACAATCGCAGCTGAGAGATTTGGAACTGGCCAAAACCACATTCCTCATGCGCAGGTTTAAACACAGCTTTTTTGCTACAGGCAACAAAGCGGGAGCGCGGCTGGCTGCCCAATTGAAACAGAGGACGGCTAACTCCAAAATTGCCTCCATCAAGGGTTCCAAGGGCACCACAATTCTAAACCCACAAGAGATAGTGGCCAAATTTGCCCATTATTATGAAAAACTATATAATCTAAAAGATGACCCACAGACAGTCTGCCCCTCTAAAGCAGATATTGACGCTTTCCTGGCAGGAATCGACCTTCCTACCCTATCTCAGATGGAGGCGGAACAGCTTAACAAACCCTTCACGACCGAGGAGATCACCTCGGTGATCTCCACGCTCCCACTACACAAAGCACCGGGACCTGATGGCCTGCCCAATAAATATTACCGCACCTTCCTTAACACCCTAGCGCAACCTCTTGGCGCTCTATTTAACCACTGCATGACAGAAGGGGCATTGCCAGAAGAGGTCACAATGGCACATGTCTCCACACTTCCCAAACCGGGCAAAAATACAGATCAATGTAAAAACTTCAGGCCCATTTCATTGTTAAATAGCGATGCCAAAATCTACGCAAAACTATTCAGCGAAAGATTGGCACCGTTGCTACATAAATTAGTACACAATGACCAGTCCGGATTCGTGAGGGGCCGACAAGGCTCTGATAACTCGAGGAAAGTGCTAAACATAATAGCGGGAATGGAGAGGGAACAAATCGGAGGTCTTTTCCTGGCACTGGACGCCGAAAAGGCCTTCGACAGACTTAACTGGCAATATATGACACAAGTGCTGTGCAAGTATCAGTTCCCCGAAGAGGTTATCAGAGGAATCTTGGCTCTGTACGCACGACCCAGTGCTAGGGTCTCCCATGGAGGCTTCCTGTCACGAACTTTTCACATTACGAATGGGACACGCCAGGGTTGTCCACTATCCCCTCTGCTATACATACTCTCCCTGGAACCCTTGGCTTGGAAGATAAGATGACACCAGGCCATAACCGGTATCACACTGGGGGACAAAGACTATTGTCTGGCGATGTTTGCGGACGATATTTTCGTGGCACTTTCAAATCCAGAACAATCGCTGCCCCCTCTGCTAACTCTATTGACAGACTATGGTAGAATATCATACTACCGTCTGAATAAGGAAAAAACACAAGCCCTACCGATAAACCTACCAGGGCCAAATGTAACCACCCTTAACTCCTTTGAACTCGTCTGGCGAACAACATCTATAACGTACTTAGGGGTTAAGATCGCCGCTCCTATTAGCAACATAGTAAAGCTCAATTATAAGCCCCTCATACATCTATGCACCACAGAAATACATAAATGGAAGAATGCAAAACTGTCCTGGTTAGGCCGAGTGAATGCATATAAGATGATGCTATTGCCAAGGTTACTGTATATATTCCGCATGCTCACGATAGACATCCAAGCCGCAATCCATAAATCGTTACAAGCCATATGCAACTCCTTCATCTGGGGGGGTAAGAAACCCAGGCTGCCCCTAGGTCTCCTACAACGGACAACCCAAACGGGGGGTATAGGCATGCCCAACATTGGACTCTACTACAAAGCCTCTATCCTAGCAACGAGTATACACCTACACGCCCAACAGGGGGTAACACAGTGGGTGGATATGGAACAAGGCCAACTTAAGCACACCTCACTGCTTAATTACCTATGGACGCCGAGAGCACTAAGAGGCCCTAAAGTAACTCTATACCCCACCACAACCGCAACGGTCAGAGTATGGGACGACTTTATGTCCTCCCTTGGCTGGAGGAAACACTTCCACCCTGAAGCTCCCCTCACTGCACTACATGCAGTGAATCCTACGATCCCACTAAACAGATGGTCACGCTTAGGTATATCCCAAATTCAACAACTGTGTACAGACCAAACGATCATGAGTTTCCCAGACATCAGAGACAGGTGGAAAGTCCCGGAGAGGGATATCTTCCCCTACTTACAACTAAAAAACACAATAAACACACACGTCAAGGGCACACCACACACTGTGCCTACTTCTGCGGTAGCAGCGAGACTAATACCCCACAGATGCTGGACAGTCCCGATGAAACCCAAAGCCCTCTCACTTTGCTATAAAGCATGGCTAGACCTAGCACCACAAAAACCGATGATATGTAAACAGCACTGGGAGACGGAGAGGGGGACAGTCATGACAGAGGAAAGGTGGATGCTGGCCCTAAATGGGATCAAAAAGTGGACCAAGTGCTACTCACATATTGAAGCGCATCGCAAACTACTATATAGGTGGTACATGACACCTATCAGACTACACAGAATGTACCCAGACGTCTCCACCAAATGTTGGAGATGCGGTGTGGAAGAGGGAACCCTGCCACACATATGGTGGCAATGTGGGGGGATACAACCTCTCTGGGGAGATGTTCAGACCCTATTGAAAGATCTCGGCATTAGAGACTTCCCCATGAACATAACGACCTGCCTACTCTTGTTGTTCCCCGAAACGACACAACAAAACCACACACAATTGATAGGGATAGTTTTAATGGCCACTAGAAACCTGATAGCTCTAAACTGGAAAACACCTCGCTGCCCAGCCATCCACCAATTGGCAGACAAAATACAACAATTCTATATATATGAGAAAATGTCCACTGACAATGCCAGGGCCACGGAAAGGTTCCAAAACACTTGGAATGTCTGGGAGACATGGTATGAGGGACAGAAACACCAGGGAGGGTGAGAGGGGCGGAGGGGACCCAGAAGAGTCAGGAGCGGCCCAGGGAAACATGGATGGTGACTTATGTGAGCTGACATGGCCAAAGTACGCAGGAAATGCTAGATCCACACTATTATGATTTGCCTGTATATTTGTTTGTGTATATACCTTTGTTAAGTTTATTTGAATTGTAATATCAACCCGATTGAAGAGAATATTGCAAACCAGCTACGATGAAATGTTCCATAGTACACGGAGGCAGATGATGTTACTGTACAACTTTAGAGTACAAATATATTATCCTGTAACCTGCTGACTACTCGTTGTATACACTATGAAACAACTATGTACTGGATCTTTACTTTTGAAAAACCTTCAATAAAAAATAAATATTAAAAAAAAAATAATAATTTCAGGAAGTATTACTAGAGGGTAGTGTATGCATGGAATAGCCTTCCAGCCAAAGTGGTAGAGGTTAACAGAGTAAAGGAGTTTAAGCATGGGTGGGGTAGGCAGAAATCTATCCTAGCTATAAGATAAGGCCAGGGACTAATGAAAGTATTTAGAAAATTGGGCAGACTAGATGGGCCAAACGGTTCTTAGCTGCCGTTACATTCTATGTTTCTATGTTTCTTCTTCTTACCGTGTTTCCCCGAAAATACACCCTACCCCGAAAATAAGCCCTAGCTGAATTTTCGGGGTGGGCTGCAATATAAGCCCTACCCCGAAAATAAGACCTAGGCATTGTACCTTTCGGCCCGGCGGAACTTCCTTCTTCTATGAGGAGGAGGAGGAGCGTTGCAGGCCGCGGCATCGCGCAACGTGATGACGACGTGCGCAGCGTCGTCAGTCTGCCTTCACGGATCTTCAGCGGAAGGATCCATTTCCGGGCGGTGAGGCACCCAGTGGTCGGACTCGGCGGGCAAGGAAGGCATCTTTGAAATGTGAGTAGATATTTTATGTCTGGGACTGAATTAATTAAAGGGGGCGAGGCGGTGAATTAATTAAAGGGGGGGCTGGATTAATTAGAGGGGGGTGGATTTATTAAAGGGGGGTTGGATTAATTAAACGGGGGGTGGATTTATTAGAGGGGGTGGATTTATTAAAGGAGGGGTGGATTTATTAGAGTGGGTGGATTAATTAGAGGGGGGTGGATTAATTAGAGGGGGGTGGATTAATTAAAGGAGGGGTGGATTAATTAAAGGAGGGGTGGATTAATTAAAGGAGGGGTGGATTAATTAAAGGAGGGGGATTAATTAGAGGGGGCTGGATTTATTGGGGGGGTGGATTTATTGGGGGGGTGGATTAATTAAAGGAGGGTGGATTAATTAAAGGGGGGTGGATTAATTAGAGGGGTGGATTAATTAGAGGGGGTGGATTTATTAAAGGGGGGTGGATTAATTAAAGGGGGGGTTCAATGTACATACCGGTACCATAAATAAATAAGCCCTACCCTGAAAATAAGCCCTAGTGTGTTTTTTGGGACTAAAATTAATATAAGACCCGGTCTTATTTTCGGAGAAACACTGTATATAAATATAAAAGCTTGAAGAGTGAATTATTAGTATAGTTGAGGAATTCTAAAGAGTATGAAGACAACAAGGACAGACATGTCAGATGAATATATTGGAGAAGGTAATTAGAGGATAACTTTATGGACATATGCATGAATAGTATTATTGAAGGTTTATGGATTTCAAATGGTTTCTAGTGCCTTCAAAAAACAAGAGGAGCCGTTTTCAAAGTGATACAACCAATAATCAGATTAGATATGTAAGGTATTTATAGAGCACGCTTAATGAATCCTCGAGACGGTGGATCATATGTTTGTTGTGTAGGGTTATGGAATTATAAAACCTTTCTGTACAGCAGAGTTGCAAGGACTGCCATGAGATATATCTCAGGATTTGCCTAATGTATTCACATAAATGGGTTAAATGGTAAAAGATGAGACTATGTGTGGGCTTATTACTAAAAAATTAAATGCACAACACTGCTGCAAAATATAGGGCAAAAAGTGCTGATTTAGAAAAAATCTTCAAATCAACTATCGACACAGCTTAGCTATTTAAGCTAGGCTTGACAAAGACTCATGTAGAAGCCAAAACGTTGTCATTATATTATGTTCCAAAATAAAGACTGCCTCTTGATAAAGCCTTTGGGTGTGCCTGGGCATTGTGTATATTTCTAACTTAACAATTTAAGCTAGGCTTGACAAAGACGCATGTAGAAGCCAAAACGTTGTCATTATTATTATGTTCCGATTTGTTGTTGTGTGAATAAAGCATATAAGTTTATAAAGAAAGTACTATCAAACAAGTTCTTGCATTATAGTTTAATATAAGGCACTCATTAAATACTGTTTAAAAATCAGAACCACTATATAGTTATTGATTTACTGTCAAACTGGTCATTAAGGTGTAATGAATAAAAAAACATCAATGTTTTTGTGTTGGGGCTGTTTGGGATTTTGTTACAATAGTATTTTCTTTTGTGTTTCTCCCTCCAGGTTTATGTTTACAGAGAAGACAAACACAGAATTAGTAAATAGTGTTTTTTCCTGCCGAGAGCTTTGTCAGCCCTTTTATTTTTACAGTTTATATGAAATTGTCACACAATATACTTTCTTTCTCGTAGAATTATTAGTAAGAATATTTCTATAAAACATTTTTTAGATATTTGCAAAGCCTAAATTATTTGTGCACATGTAAAATAAAATGAAATATCTGCTTGTCTTTCCAAATTTGAGACTTTGCTGATCAGAAAGAAAGAATCGAGAAACTTTTTTGTTGCAGACAAGAAACAGATTTCTTGTTTTTCAGAATGACAGGTGAGTTAATTAATGAATTGGGTTCTGATAGATTGAGGCTATCAATCATTGAAAAAATATTATTTTTCTATTTGATAAAGCACATACATAAAAAATTACAAAAGCCACAAGAGCCATATTTAACAATGCTATGTAAGCATTGAATTATCTACTAAAAAGCAATGCTTTACATTGCAGGGTTAAACTAAAGGACAACTGCACCCGAACCATTTTATTGAGATGAAGTAGTCTAGGGGCCTTTCGTGGTCCTTTAACACCAATCTTGTGATATTATGACAGTTCGCTGAAGATTATGGCCCTTAACACACTGTATCTAGATGTAACGGCACCCCGGGTATAGAAGGGGTTAAAGCCGTTTAGGTTATTCCCTTCCCGAATATAAAAGCAGCTACCGAACACTTCAATCAGCTGAACAA